AACTAAAAATTTTAATAACCTCCTGAAGTTCAGATTCCAGTATTTATTTCTTTGACTCTTCTCTGTGAAACTGGGAGGCTTCTGTCCTGCAGGCACAAAGTACTCTTAAATCCCTCAGCCTTCTTTCCATATTGAGGTCAGGAAGACACAGTACACCAGAGAAACTGAAAACCACTCGTGGAAACATATAGCTACACTACGGTAGAATCTGTGGTAAAAATGACCCTTGGATGGCTCTCTACTCCCTGGCTACTATGCAGAAAACTACATATTCAGAGGCAGAGGTGAACTAATGACTTATAAAAGAAACAGAGAAACAGTCAAGTTTCATTGAAGGTCAGCTCAAATGATTAAGACAGAAAATCAATAGACTAGTTGGCTCTTCTCACTAATATATTTTTACAAGTTCAAAGATTACCCACCATCCTAATACGTGTAATGAAGGAGCTTTTGGTTTAATAATTTTGCAATATTTAGGTTTGTCTTTTTGCAATTGTTCTGCTTTTTTTGCCTCTCCACATGAACACTACCTCACAGAGTATTTTATTGGCATTCCCAGAGAAAGTTCACATTATCTATTCAAAGAACTGAATGAACAGGCATCATATAATCTGATTTCTTGTCCATACACAATAACATTTCAAATCCTCCCTAGTTTAGTTCAGCTTGTCTTCACAAGCTCTGGGAATACCCACTGCTCTACACCCTGATTGGGATATCTGTCACTTGTGTGCATCACTTCAGCCAAGGAGAAGCTAATAAAACTGCAATATTTTGGTTATATTTAACCTTCAGCTATTATTGATTATTCATAAAGCAATGCCTAAGAAGTTTTTCATCTTTGTATCTCTATTAACTGTAACTGCTTCTTCCAAGTGCTGATCTGGTTATTATAACATCACCACTTCAGTGAGGTTATAGAAAAGCCTTTATTGAGAATATCATGCAAATTAGCAAGAAAATAACATCTGAGCATCTTTATCAGAGTGTAATAGTCTTCTGTCCCCTGAAACTTTTGAACTGACAAGACAACAGCCTGGATTGTTTAGTCTCATTGAAACAACTCACAATCCTGTGTATCCCACATGAATTCAAAGTCCCTTTGTCTCAGTATCACAGTGTCAGAAATGAGATACATGAATTATGACTTCCAGTCTTAAATGGCAATATGGAGGTCTAAGCATCACCTGTATGGCATGCCACAGATCATAAGGGAGGGGACAAGGAGTCAGCCAGGAGAGGCTACCATGGGAAGTAATGCACAAGGAAAACCAGCAGATAGAAATTTGAAAAGCTGAATTAAAATCTCTATGAGTCTTGTCAAGACTGAAGCCCAAAACAGATGAGTAAGGAAGACTGTATAAAATTCCATTAAGAGACTCTGATTGTTAATTGGATTATCATCTTTTTAAAAGATTCTTTCATGAGTAACTCTTATCTGTAGTTGTGGCCATCCCTTTAGGTAAATCTCTCCAGGTGAGGATAATACTCAGTAGTTCCTGTCACTCTCAGCCCAGTGTCTATGGGAAGAGTCTCTCACTGAGCAGGGTGCTGGGGAAGGCTCTGATGGTTGCTGCTGTTCTGAAAGGGTGGCACCAATGGCTACATTTTAAATTCTTAACTCCTTCAATGTATGGAATCAAGGCTGGCATTTCCTGGTGAAGGTCCAAGAACAACTGGAACATCAAAGATATAAATCCTCAGAGAAAAGTATTAGTTAAACTGGTACCAATGATCAAGGATCATATCCTCTGATATCATCAAGGAGTGTCACTCACCTGAGCTTTCTGTCCTTCAGCTTTCCTGAGGAGATGGGAAGGGACCTTTTTCTTACATTCTCTATAAATATTTAAGAAGCCATTTGAGTGAATCAATTAGTGAATAAAAGTCAAAGTTGTTTTACTTTGCCTTTTAATTATTTGGATGGTGAAAAGTGGCATTTGAAATCACAAGGGGCATAAATCCAGTCAGCAGATCAGCCTGCAAGCACCAAGCTGTGCAGATCTGAGTAAGAAACAGAAGTACTGGGTTTCTATTCTATCCCCAGGACCAGACCCAGGATTTGGGACAGGTCAGTAGAGACTGGGAAATATGAAAGAATTCAAGGAGGTGGAGGGGTAGGGAATTTTGGTTAAATCATAAAAGCACTGCACACATCAGGGTTGGAACTAGATGATCTTTCATGGTCCCTTCCAACCCTAAACCTTTTGTGATTCTATGATTATATATCAGTGAAACCTAATACTTCAATTAAATAGCATTTTACCTTTAATAGAAAACATTGTAATGGAATTACTGAGATGTATTTTTATAGTGTCATCACCCTTGAAATAAAGACACATTGGAAAAGATCTAGTTTACTGGATGTCTGTCTAAGAACTAGTTACTTAATTTGTGAACACATTGCAGAAGGCACAGACAGTTCAGTCTGAAGATAGTTCAAAGTAAAAATCAAAAATAGGAAAAAACAAAAAGTAATTTGAAAAGTAAGAGGAAAGGTTAGGAGTAAATGAGCAGATAAACTAAGGAGTGTGCTCTGCAGATATGTACATGCTCTCATTAAGCAGACAAGGATTAGAACATCACTAGTCAGGTCAAAATAAAGAATTTTAAAGTAAAGCAATGGCAAGGAAAATTTAAGTTAAGCATTATGGAAGATTATACAGAACAGCAGCTTTTATCTTGGGGAGAATAGTGAAATCATCACTGGAAGAGCTAAATTAGACACCTCCATATTCTGACTGCTCAGAGATAATCTGCCTTCATGACAGCAACCTATTTGATTGAAAAGAGAATAATTATGACAAACAATGAGTGGAAAAAAAAGAAAACCAACAAAACTTCATCTAACTTTCAGAGCTGGGCATCATCACTCCTGGCAACTGTTGAAATGTTGAGTTGAACCATTTACATGGTTTCCAGTTAAAACAAAATAAAAACAAAAACAAAAAAACCCAATCATGAACAAGTCACAACAGTGAGCCATTGCATCTAAATTCCTTCATGGAGACTCTGTAAGATCTAATCTGTCTGGTGGGGTTTTATCTGTACAAAAAACTTGTCATTGCTCCTCTATTCATTTTTTTTTTTTCCTTCAGTTCCTCTTGGACCCTCTGCCATCCCCAAGCAGGTCAATCCTGTGACTGCTTGTCTAATGAGTGCAATGGGTGGAGAATTTCACCATGAATTGTGTAGGGAGAGCATCACACACAGTCAGAGAAATCATAACCATAGTAATACATTGTGATTTTTGAGCATAAAGGGGATTTTTTTCCCTCTCTGATTCTTTGCAGTTATGTTAGAAAACATGCAGATGTTAATGTTTGTGCAGGGCTAGTGTAAGGCTGAACAAGAAGCTTTTGTGCCAGTGCACTCTAAGTTGTATATGTTCCATCACACAGGAGCCCTTTATTCAGCACCAGGCTCTACAGTGGACTGTATGTGCAATGTCACATTGAAATGTCCATGGGGATTAAAGTGCAGCTGAAGGATGCAGTCAATGATATTGGAGATCTTTTCCAACATTATGGAATCTACAGTCATAAAATAATAGTATGTGTTACACGGAGAACTTGTGTGTTGAACACAGGAACTGCTACAGGGCGAGGCACAGGAATCATCCCTTCAGCTGAGCTCCTCTGGTGCCAGACCCTTGGGAGCTGTTCAGGTCTCCAGCAGAACCAGCCCTGCAGGAGCAGGAGCATTCCTAAGCAGAGTCACAATTCCCAGAATCACAGAATGCCCTCAGTTGGAAGGGACTCGCAAGGATCATCGAACTCCAAGTCCTGCGCAGGACAGCCCTAAGAACCCCATCCCATGCCTGAGCGTTGTACAAACACTTCTTGAGCTCTGGCAGCCTTAGGGCTGTGACCACTGCCCTGCAGAGCCCGTTCAGTGCTCGACTATGCTCTGGGTTAAGAACCTGTTCCTGATACCCAACCTGGACCTGCCCTGATGCAGCCTCAGGCCATTCTCTCGGAGGGAGCAGTGTCTGTCTCTCAGGAGGAAGCTGCAGGCCGTGATAGGGTCTCTCCGCAGGAGAGTCTCCTCCAGGCTGAGCAGACTAAGTGCCCTCAGCTGCTCCTCACATGGCTTCCCTTCAAGGGCCTTCACCATGCTCGTGGCCTCCTTTGGACAAGAGCTTGAGTTCTTTCTTGTACTGTGGTGCCCAAAACTGCACAAAGAACTCAAGGTGTGTGCTCAATTCACATTTATTGTTAACTCCTGGCCATGGACAAGCAGGCAGAGCCCATTCCACGGATGAGCCTTCTCCCCCCACAGCGCAGCCCCTCAGGGACCAAGACTCAACCCCACGGGCCCAGCCGCCATGTCCCCCTCCCAAGAGCCCCCGCGCTGCTCGGACCGTCATTCCCTTCGCCTCGCCCAGGGCCCCGCAAGGCCATCGCTCCCCGGGGCCGTTACTCGGCGCCGTTTCAGGCCTCGGCACCGCCCGCACCGCCCCCGGCTGAGCGCGGCCCGGGCCTTGGCAGGCACACGGACACGGGGCCGCGGCCCCACACGGACACACACCCCCCGCCATACGGGCATGGCTGAAGGTGCCGCGCGCCCCGACCAGCGCCGCTCAGGCCGCGCGATCTGATTGGCCAGCAGTGCCGGTCACTCAGGCGCGCGGCGCGGCACCGCGCGACCCGATTGGCCGCCAGGGCGGTCACTCCGGCGCGCGCCGGGCGGGGTGTGGCGGAGGGGGGGAGGCGGGACCTCGGCCCCGCAACTGCCGGGTTCGCGCGCGCCCCGCGCCACTGCGGCTGCGCGCGCGCGGGGCCGTTACACAGGCGGCGGCGGCGGCGGGTGGGCGAGCGAGCGGCGCGCGCCGGCCCCGGGCCCGCTCCCGGCCCCGCCCCTCCCGCGGTCACGTGACCCGGGCCCCGAGCGCTCGCGTGCGAACCGGGCGCCCTGCGCGCGCCCCCCGCGCGCCGCCCGCCGCCGTTTCGGTTTCATTTCCGGCGGCCCCGGGCCCGGAGCGGCGGCGCCGAGCGGAGCCCCCGGCGCTGCCCCCCGCTCCCGCCCAGGGTGGCCACACCCCCGGGCTCGGCGTGAACCGAGCGCCCCCGCCCCGCACACACACACCGCTCCTCCCCCGCCTGCGCCGGCACAGAGAAAGGGAAGGGAGGCGGCGCCGGGCCCGGGTCTCCCGCACCGCGCACAACATGGAGGAGCTGGTGGTGGAGGTGCGGGGCTCCAACGGGGCCTTCTACAAGGTACCGGGTGCTCGCGGCCGGGCCGGGCCCCAGGGGAGGGAGCGGGCACGGCAACGGGAGGAGGAGGAGGAGGCGGCGGCGGCGGCTCCTCCTCCCCGCGCTGAGGGAGAGCGGAGGCCCCGGGGCAGGAAGGAGGAGGGAGAAGCAGGCAGGGGTGGAGGCCACGGCGGGTCCCTCGCGGTGGCCGCGCAGAGCGAGCCGGGGGCCGCCGGCGCCGAGCGGACTCGAGGCCCGATGAGGAGCGAGAGCGGGGAGGCCTCGGGCCTTCCCCCTTTGTGGGAAGGGGCGCCCGGGGCCGTCTCGTCCCGGGCTGAGCGAGGATCAGCCCTGGGATGGGGCATTAATTGCTAAATCCTCAGCTTTTGTCGCTACTTAAGGAAAGTCTCTCTCGCCGTCCGGGTTTCCAGGAGAGCTGCACTGCATGAGCACGGCCTGCAAGGCGGGGAGGAGGGGGGCCCTCGTTAATGCACATTCCTGATGAAATGCTGTGGTGGATTCTTGCTCCTAATGCCATGCCTAGTGATATTAAAGACAGCATTGCTTGGCCAGATCTATCTGTGCTGAGTCCCTGAATACGTATAGATATCAAATCTACCTCTTCTTACTGAAATTATTTAGTGGCATTGCATGTTTGTTTCCAAGCCCTTGTTCTTAGTAAAGCCAACCCTGAGCCTTGAACATATGAGCGCTGAATATGTTTTATTAATACCGTGTAGTATTGTGTGGCTTTGCATGAGTTGGGTTGTATTAATCAGCGTATTAATAGGGTATAATTTGCAGTTTTACAGAAAATAAAATTCGGATATGGTTGGTTTGGGCCTAGTCTCATTGACCTGTTATCAACATACCAGGAATAGCCATGGATCAGTTCCTGCAAGTTTCTCATGGTTTAAATGATCCTCGGACTTTAAAAATTGGGCCTAGTTGTAGTGCGCCATCCAATATTTATGTTAGCATTGAAGGGCCGGGTAGAGTTTCACACTCACGTGTTCCTGTGCTAAGCCAGGTAGATATCCAAATGATGTAGTTCCAACACCTCTGAGTTTTTCTAAGAAAAGCAGACCTCTTAAAAGCTTATTTTTAAAATTTGTGTGCTATCCGATTCTGAATTTTTTTTTTTCAAAAAAAAAAAAGAAGTATGAGATACAAATCAGTGGTAAATAAGCATCCTGTGAGCTCACAGTGCTGTAGTCAAAGTCCTAGATCTGTATATTGCTTCCTGGAATTAAATAATCTAGCACCTCTAAAAATGTTTTAGGTTTTTAAAGGTACAGTATTTGGTCAGAAAGAAGCAGAAGGAGTAAATGCATTGCACATTAGAACTTTTAATGAGGCTTTCATCAAATTATAGTAGTTACACAATGATGTGAAGGAGATGATGGTAATAATGACATGGTACTTTCTTTAGTGACAAATATTGAATAAACCTGGGAGAATTGAAAGCTTCTGAAACTTTAATTGTTTGTTTTCAGATTTGACACCATGGGGACCCAGTACCCCTTGTGTGTAGGTGAAAGCTTAATTTGAGCATATGTTCCTGGAAGCTTGTTCATGATTTAGTGCACCCAAGTTCTAACCAGACATTGCCCCAAGTGGTATGGTTATGTTTGTCTTTTAACTTTTAGAAATTTTGACAGGATTTTTTTTTGTTTCCTCTTTCTCACTAACCAAGCAGCTTTGGTTAAATTGTCTAAAGGGAAAAATGGGCATATGGATTTATCTGTCTTCACCTGAATTACCTCTTGAGATGGAGCATCACACTTAAAATAAATGCAACATTTATTTTTAAAGAATAAAAAAGTGGGAGTTGTTTTACACTCTCATGCAATAACGTTCAGTATAAACTAGCAATTTTCCTCTGGTTTCCCCTAATTTGAATTACTTGAATTCTAATTACAGATTTCTCTTTCATCATGATATCTGACTATCACTCTGTTATAAATTAATATATCTAATGTTTTTCTTCTGAGTTTTATGCCCATCTTAGAGGTTGGCAATTCAGTTGCAAAAAATGAATGTTGACCCAGCCTAGCAAGAAGTGTGCAGTGATGTCAAGTGTGAAGTTAATTGCAGGATGATTTTATTTTTCCATTTTGCAAGTTTCTTTAAGCAGCCTCCTGAGAAGTGATTTACAGCAGTAATGTTTCAAACAAACCAAAAGCAAAACAATTCTTTTATTGAATCTCTTGTTTTACTGATAACAGGTGAAGATTTATTTGGCTTTGAATAATTCTGAATTAATGAGAATATGTAAATTTTTTGGAAAAATACACCTCTCTTGTTACTAAGACATGGAAGGGGGAGGAGTATGAGGCTGCTGTAGTCAGGATGGGATGAAGTGGCTCAAGTAGGCACCCAGTTGTGGCTTCAGCTTTTCATATCCTCCTTGTAGGTCTCTCTGAGGACCTGAGCGTTTTTGAGTGTACCCACCAACATCATCTGGATCTTTACAGTACAAAACTGCCCACCTAAGCCTTGCTGAAAGTAACAAACCAGTGTTTTCTGAGATACATCCAGAGGACTCATGTCCCACACAAAGCTTAGGAGATGGTTTGAGGATGCCTTCATAGCCAGCTGTGAGATCTGAATTCAAATTTCATTCTGGTCAGGTGCACTGGAATACTGAAGTGTGTTGATGTGACTGCTGTAGTGCAGGCCAGTTCTTTCTGAATGGAATTCAAATACTGCTTAGTGCATACTCTGTACTTTGATGGTTTTTTTATCTCCTTGCCTAAGATGAATGATTCCATGGAAAGCACAGTGCAGTAAGTGGGCATGATTCAGGGATAATTGACAGTCTGGTACCTAGAGATGCTTAGTCATGACTTGCTATGTGCTTGGGCCCAGAATCCTTGGAAAGAAAATGTTAGATTTCCTTACTTATTCCATGAAGCCTGGTCCAACAAGCACCAGGACTGTGAAGCCAAGGGGAGGAAATTGCCTTTTTGCAGCTCACAGCCAGGTAACTAGATCTTGAAGGTGTGCGGTGTTAGGACATATCTTCTTATTATCTTTTCTTGTATAGGAGTAGTAAATTGGGTTTTGAAGTTCTTATTCACAGAGGACTAATAGACAGCCTTTGCCTTATCTTTTTGGGATTAGCTTTAGGTGTTTCCCTCTAAAAGGGGACATGCTGGATACCTTTCCAACATGGGATTGATTTTTCTTTTTGAGTTTGGGAGTGATTCTCTCGTGTCCTCTGCTGAAGATGGAGAGCATCCTGTTTATGAGGCAGTCAGCTTTGTGATGGTGTTTGTTGTTAATATCTCTGTGTTGTCTGTAACCCAATTTTTGCCACTTCTTGCTCTGTAACCTTGTGAAAATCTTCCCCTTTTTATCCCAGTAGTTTCAGCGCCTTGCTGCTGTTTGCTTGGTTTTATAGATAACTTCATTGAAGCTACAGCTGATAAAATAATTCATCTTTCTTACCACTTTATTACTCCAGGTCTCACTATTAGCAGCTGTTCCTGTGGCCCTCTGTATCCATTTTTTTCTTTCACTGTTCCATCCAGACACCTCAGCCAATATCTGCAGTCTCTTTGTACATTCATGAGCCTGTCTGCTCAGTCCTGCTGAGGAAGACCACCTGTACGCTTTTTCCTTGTCTGGTGACCATTTCTGTGACTTTTTCTTCTCCCTATTCTGTTCCTTTGTATGTCCAGCCTTTCTCAGACTTGATTATACACCGAGTTCCCTTTTGACATTCTCCTTCCAACAGGTATGAAATGTTACAGAATGGTTACACTAACAGTAGATGCACGTTTGTTATCAACACAGCCTTTTTATGTTAAAAAGCATATTTTCCCTACTTTCCCTTCTTACAGTTAATTATCCTCCTTTATTAAAATGGTTTACAATGCTCACATCTGATGATGTGAGCAGACTTTAAAAAAGCAAAATTTCATGGCAGCTGAAGCCTTTATTTTTCCCTTTGAAGTGTCCATCATTCCATTTAGCATAAAAATATGCTGGTGTTTCCAATAATTCTTATTTTTTTAACAAATAATTTGTAAAATTTAAACCATATATTCAGCATATAGCTATTCTTAGAATGTGAATGCTTATGTGTTTGAGAAATGCCATGCTGTAAACTTTTTTACTTTATAATATCTGAAGCATGGAGAGGAATGAAATACTATGTGACTCAGAGTCAAATTTGGTGTAGAAAATTTGATTTTTTTTCCACATTAGAGAAGAAGAATCAACCTTTGCCAGTACAAAATGTGCTTCTGTTCACAATTTTGTGTATTCTTTCTTGGTATTTCTGCTGTTAGCAATAATGGTGTGTCAGCTGCTTCAGTCTTTCACTGTCCTGTTACCTCATTTTGCTTCTGTCCAGTTTCACTTTGTTTTTAAGGCATTTCATCTTTGTGTCCAAATTCATCAGAGCCACTGTTCTGTCCCTTCATGGGGGTGCATTTTAAGCTCATGTATCTGCACCCTTCTGTTTGAATTTCCATGCCTACTTACACTCCTTATCTAAAAAAGGCTGATGAATGGTTATTGTATTTCTCCTGATACTCCTGTGAGATCAGAGCCTCTTCTCTGCCTTTACTGACATCTGGGGCTGGATTGTCCTGTCTGTGAATTTGGCTTATGGTGTTAAAGGCTTCTTTTTAGCATTTTGTTTAATTTCACAAGTATTACAAAAACAAGACTTCCAAACAGTTCAGAGAAGTATTAATTTTGGTTTCTTAAAGGCATTGCTGCTTAAATATTAGTTTTTTAAGGAAAACTTAGAAATGTTTCAGACCTTTTCTGTTTGTACTTGTAAATGTAGAAATTGAAATATATAATGCTGAAGAGTCCAAATACATTTTTGTGCTACAGATCAGTTTAAATATTCATATTGGAGGAAAATTGACATGGTGCTGTGGTCCAGATGATGGTAAACTGATGTGATAAGTATCTGACATTTTTGTGTGTCACAAGAAACTTGAAAACAAGGAGAACCCCCTTTCTCTGGATAGATAGGATTGGACAACCAAATATTAAGGACTGTATTAATAGTCACTAAAATATTTTGCATGGTGGTTTTAAGCATAAAGATCACAGAGAGGTGTGCAGACATGTTTCATATATTGCATACTTGAAATTAGTTATTTGGCAAGGCATTGTTCACTTGGTAATTAATTATAAATTAATTCCAATGAACTCTTGTAATTTTGCGAGACTATTAATTAAAAGACAAACCACAGAGTTATGACATCAGTGTTTTTGGCCAGACTGAAGGGAAAACCAGGTATTCATTTGTTTCTGTGGCTGACTCTTCTGAACCTGGTGTAAGCTAAAGAAATTCAGATTTGTGATTTTCCCTGGCAGTGTCTGCATTGATGCTACCTGTGTAAGGTCAGCAGTTTAACCAGTGTTCTGCTTCAGGCTCTGATTTCTGGATTGTGACCAAAGCAATGTGCAAGAGCTGTTGAAGGGGAGCTCAAACAGGACACTGTAGTTCATTCCTCTTTCAGCCAGCTGTATCTCTCAAGTTGTACTGTTTCCAGATAATACAATTGCTAAACTCTTTGAAGGTCCAGGCTAGTCTTCAGCTTAACTTAGATTTATTTGTTGCACATTCTGGTTTACTTATTAATGGTAGGTTTTAGCATTATTACCCTTAATGAGGTATATTGCTGTAGCCCCTGGGATTGTGCTCAAGGTGTATTGGAAGTTAGGAGCTCTCTTCCATTTCTCTCTGGATATGAGATGTGTTCTTGCTCTCTTGCTCTTTGCTGCTGTGGTTGTGAATTTTTCTGCCATTTTCTGTCACTTTTTCAGAGTGCTGATGAGCACACCTTTTGGTGTTTTCAGCACCACAGAGGTGATGACTTCTCCCAAAGTACCTTTCATACAAGGAAAGATGATTTTTTTTGACATTTTATAAATATGAGAAAATTAGGTATGAACAGGTTGTTTCTCAGGGCATGAGTTGTGTTGCTCTTCCCTGTTCTCCTGAAGGCTATTAAGTATTGCTGGTTTCGTTTCTGTGGAATTTGCTTTGTAAAATAATCTCTGCTTTTACACTTGAGTAGTACTGTTAATCCTTGTCCAGTCTATGGCACAAAGGAGCCATGCCTTGTGTCTGGTAATGATCATAGTGGTTTTCAGGTGTTAAAGGCATTCATTTCAGCTGCGTCTGTAAGAATAAGTGGCACTTTACTACCATTGGAGACACGTGGGTGAAGCATTCAAAGGTGATATGTGTAATGTGAAATGAGTCAGGACTACTATTGTATTGCTCACATGCATCTCCAGTTCTGGAATCTTCTTACAGAACACACCACAATATGAAACATGAGCTAAATGTATCAATAATGATCACCTGAGAGCTCTGTTGCCTCTTCATGTAAATACCTTTTCTGTACTGCTATGAACATGATCTTGAGATGTGGCCTTAAGTCTTTTTTATACCATGGCATTGAAAAACATCAGCTGTGCTTGTAATCCCCTTTGAAGGAATATGGAATTTTGAAATTCATTATTATGCAAATACATTTGGAGACTTTATAAAGTCTCCTTGGCTTGCTGGTAATAATAAAGTCTTGTTCTTAAGAGTATTGAGAGGCGAGCAAGGTGTAAAATAATTTTTTGCTGTTGTCACTGTGGCTTTCCTTCAACTTCTATTCACAGTGGCATTGGTTATGTTTCCGTTCTCAGCTTGGATGTTTTTTTCCTTGTACTGAATGACTGGGTGATGACATTGATGTGCATTACCACTTCATTTTAGCCAGTTTTTGGAGCTCTGTATTAGCCCAGGTCAGGTGTTGCTCATCTTTGATACTAAGATACTGCTGCTAGGAAATATTTTGGAGTACTTTGTAAAGCAAAAATAGCAGAAGAATTTCTTAAAAACCATTTAGGTTCCATATAAGAGAGACTCTTAGCTCCTTGTAAGATATAAGATCTCTTCTTGTCTTGGAAACTTGCAAGGGCAAGAATAATAAAATGGAGAATAATAAAATGTTCATTAATTAATTCTTCTAAAGAAGTGGTAGTTGCTGCTAAATTATTTTCAATTTACTGAGATTTTTTTAATATACTAAGGTATATTAAAAAAATCTCCCTTAATAGAAAAAATTTCTCTATTCTTTCTTGTTAATGGGCTTTTATTTACCTACCTTGCAATGATACTATGTGTGGTCTAATGTTAGTGGAATACTCAGCACTTCAGCACCTTGTTTTAGAAGTTCATAGAGGTACTTTAAAAATAAAGAATAAAACCTCCGTGATCTTTTCATCCCTGGTTAACCTGTGACCTCCATTGTTTCAGACTGAGAAGAATATTTTCATTGGTACATCCCAAAGTTCTGAGTATGCTGGTCTCGCTGTTGTGTGGATGGGGAATGGGGGAAGCATTTGGGGCTTTAAGCTAAATATTGACAAATCCAAATCAGTCAGTTGAGTGCTTAAGGCAGGAGGAGCCCTCAGTGCTGAATTCTAGTTCTGTCTCTGCTTTGTGGTGGCATGGAGAGCACAGCTGCTGTCCCTCCCCCAGGAGAAAAGGGAAGGCAAGCCCCAGGGCATTTATCTAAAGTTTGTGCTCTACAGATTTAGTGTGGTGAAGTAAATATGGGGAAGACACTGCTGAAATTGATATAGATGAGTTTTGCTGGTGCAATGTTCAAATGTACTTTGAGGTAAGGAAGGAAGAGACAGGACCTGGAGGTTTTGTGGTCTTTGGTGTCATTTGTTTTTTGAGGAATAGTGATGTTTAATTTCTGTGCCTGTCTGTACATTAAATGTGATTATAAAAACCAAACATTTAAAATTCTTGAACTATCTTGTCATTTCCTACTAACCTTCCCTGTTGCTTCTAAAAAGTAGAAATAATGTCTTCATAGCTGAGGCATTCTGTTTGTGTATCAGTGTGCTGGCAGTCATGGACCCAAGGAGGTTATCAGCTTTCAGTATGTGTTTTATATAAAGTCTATTGCAAGATTAAAAAGGTTGACTTTAAAACATACTTTCATTGTGAGATTCATCAATATTTGTGGAAAGGAGGTGTTTTACAAGCTTAAAATGACTTTTAAAAGTGTCTATAAACAGACATAATTTTACTTTGTTTCCTCCACAGGCATTTGTAAAGGATGTGCATGAAGATTCAATAACAGTTTCATTTGAAAACAAGTAAGTGTATTGCTGGTGTTGTACCTGTAAATGACAGAGTATCAACCTTGCATTTGATTGACCTAAATATGGCTTAGTGCAGAGTCGTGTATATTAGATACACTAAACTTGCTGCTGGCATGTTTTATAGTTATATTTAGTATCTACTATTTTGTGATATTTCTGTATAAATGCTTTTAATGATTTAAATACTTTCAAGTGCAAAACCATAGTAACATGGGTTTTGCTGGGAAGGTAATCATGTTGTCACTGAATTTACCTGATGACAATCCATGTTTGAGTAAGTCAGCAGTTGTACCATTACTGACTCTTTCTCGTGTGAATGTCTTGCCTTGGTTTTAGAAGATTCCATTATTACAAAATTTGTTCTATAGATATTTGTTCTATAGATATATGATGAATACCAATTTTCTGATCTAGAAACTAAAATTATCCAGTCTCCATTAAAGAAACTGAAAATGAAAACGGTATTCAGACTGGATCCTGATCAAATTTTCATTACCTGTAGTAGAACCAAAGAAAAAGAAGATACAGACCTCTTTTGAAGGAAGTGTCCACATATGTTATGGAATGTTTTTTAATCTGTGTTTCTAATGTTGGGGTTAAAAACCATCCCTGTAAATAGAGGAAGGGCTTCTACTAGAAGATTGAAAAGATTGCAGGGGGGCATCAGGGTTTCATTTAAGATGCTTAGTGGTCATTTAGATGTGTTTTTTCTTATTATATATACATTGGCTCACATTACCTTTAATACAAATATGTACAAAAGCTCCACTGAATTTGAATCTGTGAAATTAATGGATTAAAAATGCTTGATTTTGTTTGCAAAGAAGATGAAAATATTTAGAGCATTCACTGTGATTTTTGTTTGCAGCTGGCAACCAGAGAGACAAATCCCATTCCATGATGTGAGGTTCCCACCACCTGCAGGCTATAATAAAGACATAAATGAAAGCGATGAAGTAGAGGTGTGTATGCTCCATTAACAGCTCTCTTGAGAAGTGACAGAACTTGCTGTGAAAAATGTCAGCCAAGCCACTGGAAGGTTTGCTTCCATGTTAGGTGATGTCACCTCCTTTGATTCCAAGTACTGCAGAAAGCACAGTGTCAGGCACATCTCCAAACCCAGAGTTTGACACTAATAAACCATGCAAATTCCATGTACCACAAAAGGCCATGTAAAATTCCATGTACCATGACCTCCATGCTGAGTTACAAATATGCTGATATACAAATATGATCAGTGTTGCATTGTTTACAGATCAATCCTGTTTAGGAGATTTAATTCAGAAATAGGTGATGAACTGTGGTTATTAAGCTGTAAGGTAATAATGTCTCTATTACCAAAGCTTCAAGCTGAATCGGATAATTTGCATTATATGCGTGTGTACATGAAAACATAGAAATATATGTGTATATGTAAATACTTATGTGTATATTCAAAGAGATTGACTTTAAACAGCATATTTCTAAAACCTCCTAATTTTATAAAATTGTAACATTTATTTTCATAATTAATTAAAAGAAAGAGGACTTGCAAGATTTGCATTCTGCTTGCATGCTCTGTAGACTTTTAATTTGAAAAATAAGAAAATGGCAAAACTTCTGTAATATAGGTGTGGCTGATAGCATATATGTGCTAAAGAAGTGTAGATATGTAACCTCCCTCTCACCCACTGGTAGGACTTCATCAGACCTACACACAATTAAAAATACTATTGATTAAATATTAACTGATGTAAAAGTCTGAATTATCTCTCTTTTAACTGCATGCAAGACTGAGGCAGCTACTGCCAGTAGATTGGGCACTGTATTATTTATTATTATTTGTCTATACAATCTTGCTGTTACATGCTTTCTGTGTTGTGCTCAGAGACTTTTTGTACTAAGATGTTTTGCTGGGTTTTGTTCCTATGGAGTTCCTGATCATATTAGTGTCAGCTTTTGTGATGTCTTTTAACGATATAATGTATGTATTTTGTTCAGGTTTATTCCAGGGCAAATGAAAAAGAACCCTGCTGTTGGTGGTTGGCTAAAGTGAGAATGATAAAGGGTGAGGTAGGAGTATGCATATATACATATATATATTTTTTATATTGACTTATACTTTTTTCTTTCTTTTCTCTTTATATATTGATGTACAATATGGTTTGAACTAATCTCTATTCATTTTTTTAAGAGTTTCTTGATTAGGACAGTTGCAATTACCATTAACCTCAACCTGAGAAGTCAAATTTGACTTGTACAGTTAACAAAAGTACCTTTTCCTTAATAGTGTAATGCTCACTCATGTCATAAAATATGTGGCTTGGATGATTTTATTATTTTTATATCAGTTCTACGTAATAGAATATGCAGCCTGTGATGCTACATACAACGAAATTGTCACAATTGAACGTTTGAGATCTGTGAACCCCAATAAACCCGCAACAAAAGATACTTTTCATAAAATCAAACTGGCAGTTCCTGAAGATTTAAGGCAAATGTAAGTACAAGCGTTTCTTTATAACTTGTTTCAGAATGTGGGTAACTTCTTTAGCCTGAGACAAGAAGAATAATAATGCTTTTTACCACTCTAAATTAACTTATTTCAATGTAAAAATGTAAAAAATACAAATATTGATGTGGTCATACTTCAAAAATAGATAATTTTTGAATTGTGGTTTATTCTTGAAGGAAGAAACACTTTCTTCAAAATTTTAAGGTTTGTGTGTGATACAGATTAAGATTTCCACTCTTAGCACTGTTCAGTGGTATGCACAGGTCAATCTGAATCCATTCTTGGTCCATTTTTATTATTTGATGATGGCTCTGGGAATAATTGAACAATAATGAAACCTCCCAGAGTATGATACAAAGCCAGCTAACTTTCTCCTAGGCCATGGACCTGTTGTTGTCATATAGTTACAGCTCTAAAAGTCATAATAATACTGACTCCCCTTGTTTACCTTCAGGTCACTTTCTGCTTTCCTTAAGATGTGTGTTATTGCCTCAGTGTGGGATGAGTTATAAATTCAGGTTAGACTAAAACTTCCTGAAGTTAGTGTTACAGCTTACACAAGTAGACACAGGAAACCTGGAGAAGCCAAGCACAGCATGAGATGAGCATATGGTCCTTAGAATATTGCAGGGGTTAAAATGAAATCACACATTTTAATGGTTCATGATGTGTTTGAAATCTTGAACTTGCTGATCATAGTGATTATAGTTTTTAATGTAGTTTTGTCTAACTTGTCATTCCACAGATTTACATACAGAAAATTTCTGAAATATTTCTAATCCTACTCATGTGAAGGCAAATTAAAAATAATGAGTAAAATAAATTATAACAGAATAGAATAAAATAACACCTGCTTTGAAAGGGAGAGCTTGGAAATCTTTATTTACATTCTTTGTATTAAGGAATTAATCTTTTTGGCTGTTAACCATAAATGCAGCGGTTTTTAACTTTGTTACATTTTTATCCCTAGGTGTGCCAAAGAATCTGCACATAAGGACTTCAAAAAGGCAGTTGGAGCTTTTTCTGTAACATATGATTCTGAAAACCACCAGCTTATTATTTTGGTAAGTACAAATGTTTTACTGTAGCCTTGGCAGTGGTTTGTTTCACGAGTCCATGTGTAAAGCACTGTTGTGTTTATTTACAATGCAGTCAATCAACGACGTGACCACGAAGCGAGCCAACATGCTCATTGATATGCACTTTCGGAGTCTGCGCACCAAGCTATCCCTGATACTGAGAAATGAAGAAGCCAGCAAACAGCTGGAGGTAAGTCGGTTGTCTTCCCTGAAGTAATTTGAGTGAAACAGATAATAAAAAAATCCCTGGTGTGTTTGTTAGCTGGTGGGACTTGCATTGAGGTGAAAGTAATGATGTATTGATAATAATCTGGGTGGTAAAAAAGGCAAGAAAAGATCTTTACAATTACAAGGCCTGTTCTTTCAAAGACTAATTTTATCAGCAGGATTTTGTGGGGGATTGAATACAGCTATGTAGACACACATACATGTGTATTTCTTTCATATTTTGAAGCATAAAATACCCATCATTGCACAAATAATGCCACATATTTGGTAGCTTTAAAAATAGATGGGAGTGAATATGTTATGATCCTGATAGGACTAGAACTGGATCTAGCAAAATAATACAGTGAAAATGAGATGAAGGGGGTGAAAACTGATGCTGGTAGAATGTATGAAGGGATAGGTTTGTCTATAGATAAAATGTTAGGAAATAATCTTACAGCAGATACAGCTTCTGATACTCCTGTGACTGGTGAGTGGGTGTTGACTGGCAAGAAGCTTGAGTCATCCTTGTCCATGGGTAAAAGAAAAAAAAGAAAAGAAAAAGAGTAGGCAAGGAAATAAGGGGATTTTTTCATACACCAGGATTAACATTTCTTCATGGTTTTTCTCCTATCTACAAATTAGAAAAAATAGCAATATTTATGAAAACTTTTTAGATTCACTGTCAAGAATCAGAGGTACCACTTAAACTCCTGTAACTCAGTTTGACACAGGTGTATACCAGCAGTGTTCTGCAGAGCCAGGTTTCATTCCCCCTTCCCAGGGGCTACATATGTTTGAAGTGGGATGTCATGTTCAGCCCTTGTGTGTGCAGTGGGCATACTCACTGGTACAAGAACTTCTCACTTCTGTTCTTCCCTCTTTCGTATCTTGATTTCTGTGTTTCAGAGCTGAAATCTAGGTTTGTTTGGGTTTTGATTTTTCTCAAGATGAGGGATGGACCAGTTTCTCCTCACTGGTGTTCCTTACTGAGCACCCCATTGTAGCTCTTCAGTAATCATTCTTCCTTATCCTCCAGAACTGACAGTTGTGTGGGCAGTTTACCTCTTGAAGTGCAAAGTATTATTTTGGAGGTGGGAAGAACAACAGCCTCTTTAGAGCTAATTCTCTTTACATGCCCCCACAAATGCATGCACCAACAACTGTTGTCATTGATTCCTTTCCCAAACTAATCTTGGATTCTTCTTGTCATTGTAGCACTGAGTCTTTTTGCTGCTGTGAAAGTCTCAAACTTGAGTTGGTTCTCACTAGAAAACCATTGTTGAACTTCAGTTTCTACCTAAGTACTTAAATAAAGGTTGTGAGATAAATATATACAGTTAAAATTTGTGTGACAGAAGTTGGCTGCTATTTTTCATTTTGGCATTTGTGTTTCTTGTAGTTAGAATAAATATACAATCAGTTTCATCCAAAGTTGAAAGGAAGAGCTTCAGATAATAAAAATCATACTCATGATTATTGTTGAGACACTGACATACCAACAGACTGCACATGTCCATCTGCAGAAAAAATATTTAGTGAACACTTTGGGCTTTACTGCATTATTAATAGCAGCTCACTGTTTTCATCAAGTAAACCTTTTCATGTGTCTCATAGTCACGGAACTTTCAAAGTCTGCCCCTTCTTTTCTTCTAGCAGTTTTACCTGTTTTGTTTCCTGAGTCATTATTGCTAGACCAGCTTCTTTTGTTCAGTGGAGTTTTTTTCTTCCTATTTGTTGCACCTTCTTTTTTGCATATTATCTTCTTGACTTGCATGGCTCTACTTCTCAAACATGGCTTTTAGAGCATCAAGATTATTTTTTGTTTACCTTCTTTCTCAGTGGGTGTGATTTAGCTGTTTTGGGTGTCATTCACATACTAAAAAGCCTGAACTGACAAGTGTTTTGTGTTCTGGTTGGTATTTTACTGGATCTAAGTAGAACTCAGTTCTGGCTGCTGTGTATGTATTAATACATTATTTGCATAGATGCTTCTTCTTAATGTATTGGAGGGAAGTAGAATGCAGAATTTCTGATGTTTAAATAGAGCATACTTCATAATAATTTGCAGAAAAGCTGATGATGTTTTAGTGCAGGCAGAAAAACTCTGGTTTGACTGTCAAAGCCAAGGTCCTCTGTGATGATGTAGCTTCATCTTTTCCACATGTTGTAGATAGTTAACAATGGATCATTGTCTTGGTCATCTTGTTCTCTCCTCTTATTTGGCTGTCTATAAAAGATGTCAGCTAGTGAATCAGCATTTGGATTATCTGTTAGAAGTGGAAATGTGAGCAATTAAAAATAACTTTAGCTTTCCAAATTGTCTGTAATGTAGCTACTGAAGTACTTGACAGTGCTCTCAGAGTATCTGAAGTATTTCATAACACTTGGATACTTAGACCATTATCTACTGTAACCAGCTCTTTGAAACAGTGATTTAGCACAGGATATTTACCAACAGCTTTAAGCAGGAGCAGTTCAGAAAGCAGTACCAGTTTAGCTGGAACAGTATAGGGCTTGTTGTGGGCAACTCCTTGATGTTTTCTCAACATCTGTAGGGTCTCATTTTGCTGACATTAAACTGCTAATTTGAAGTGTGCTTATGTATGTCTTGACGGTAGTAACAGCTTCAATTGCAATGCAGAAACAGGGACAGGATTATATCTCTTGGCTTTTATCTTGTTTCTTCCTTGCAAAACACTCCTTCCTTAATAGATTATCACAGTTGGAAATTCTGTCTTCCCACAATGCATTAAACAATTGTTGCTTTCCTGTGTTCTGTTGTGCTCATGCTTGTGAGTGCTCAGTATGACCCTTCTGTCTGGGTAGATGTGTGATTCCTGGCTGCAATTCTGAATGTATTTGTTCTCCGAATTCAAACACTTTTTCTGTTGTCATGCATAGGCACAGATTCTTCATTTTTTTAAAGTGCAGTAGATATCCACAGCTGCTCTGTTTTATATATAATTGTGTCAGTCATTGAGTTATTACAGTTTCACCCACCTGTTGAAATTGGTGCAGTTTTTTTCTCAGAGATCATAAGGTTTGCTTTAATAATCAGTACAGTTACTGTTTCACTACCTTATGAGTGCTGTCTTCCCTAGTAACACCTGATAGCTGTAGCTGTTAAAGGGTAATTCAGAATGGAGGTGTCAACAGAGCTAGAGGCCAGCCTTGTGTTAACATTTAAAACATTTCTGAAGGAGACTCCTTGGTGGTTTTGAAGCTAAAATAAGAGCAGTAAAGGGATTGAGTAAATAAAAAGTAGGCTAAGCACCTGATTGAAAAATAGGCTTGAAATTTATGTTGATTTCTCTCTCCAGTGTGCTGGAGAGACAATCAAAGGGAGCTGACATGAGATTTTTCTTCAGAGTTCTAGGCAACTTGCATCCCGGTTCCATGAACAGTTTGTAGTACGTGAAGACCTAATGGGTTTGGCCATTGGCACTCATGGTGCTAATATTCAGCAAGCCAGAAAAGTCCCTGGAGTGACTGCCATTGATCTTGATGAAGATACTTGTACATTCCATATTTATGGAGAGGTGAGTTCCCTTCTCTGTCGTTTCAGAAAATACCTGAAAGAAACAAGCGAACAAAAACCTTGGGGAAATGTATCTTGTTTCTCACACTTCTTTCTATTGTAGGATCAAGATGCTGTGAAAAAGGCAAGAAGTTACCTTGAATTTGCTGAAGATGTCATACAAGTCCCAAGGAATTTAGTAGGTAAGTAATTTCTGGAGGCTGCCTGTGTGGAAGTAAAGAAAAATGCCTTCTGAGAACTGCACTGAACTAGAAGCAATGTGCTGACGCTCAGGTACAAGGTAGAATAATTTCTGGATTGAGCTGGAGAATTATTTACTTCCCCCAAACAAATCCAGAGAGTAGTTCAGCTATAGAAGAGGTGAATCTACAGTCTCAGATTTTCCTAGTATATTTTGAATCATTTCTTTTACTTATATTTGTCTTTTTCCCCATGTCCTTTTAGAGATGTTTAGAAGCAGCACTGTGAGATGAACTAGGTATCAGTGATGAACAAAATTTAAAATACTTCCATTGCCAAACAATTAAAAATGTCCTTAAAAATACATGCACCATGTATATGTGGAGAAGCCTTTTAATAAGCTTTTGATGCTACAAAGCAAAATAAAAATACGTGGTTTCATTCAGTAGATTAGAAAAGAGCAGAGAAGACATTTTATGGTAAAACATAGCCCTGAAAGCAAATGTTTTAATAGGTTGTCAGGGAGTGTATGAAAGCTGGTGTTGAAGCAGTGTGAAATTCTGCAGCAGGGCAAGTCCTAAGGAATGTGGCAGCTCAGCTCTGGAATTGATTAAAAACAGTTTTCCCTTCTTTATTTCCCCCTGTTTTTACTGGTGATAAGTGAAAATGATAAGCTGTCATCATTATTTTAATGTGAGGTCTTAAAGTCTGTTTCTCTTTAGAACTTAACAATTATATTTTTTTGGCAGGTTTTCATTTCTACTCTTAATTCTTGACATGGATCCTTTAGAATATAACTTTGGCTGAACCCTGTGTTATGTCTGAAATAAGCTATGTTGAATAATTTGGCTTTTAAAATTCCTAGTAATTTGCTTTAAAAATGCAGAAGGCTTTTTTAGATAGATATATATCTACTGATACTTTTTCATCTAAAGAAAATTCAAACAAACCACTCTTTTCTATTTAATTATATTTTTAAAAATTCAAACTGAAAAAAATACAAACAAAGAAAAAACCCACCCAAGATGTTATTTATTTTTTAATGACTGTATGGACATTTTTATTTGAAAATATTTGTGTGTGTTGTCAAATCTTCACAAAAGCCTTGATTGGCGTAACTGATGTAAGTTGTGGAGGTTTTGAGTGATTAATTTCTTAAATCATTACCAAGGCTTTTTTACATTTATTAGTAAGGTGCAGTTCCATTTGCCAGTAATATATAATGAAATAAAATATTCAGAAATAGTTTTTGACAATCAAAACAGCCTTTGTCATTGAGGAGGAACTTACTGGGCATATTTTGTCATGTTTTCTGCAAGTATTCATGTCAGAAAAGTTGAAACACAAAAATGAAACTTTATTTAGCTTTGAATGATAGGAGCAATAGGAGTCTCTTGTAACTAAAAGTGGTATTTAAATTCTTCTTCATGGATTAATTGTATCAGTCGAACAGTAGCTGTTATGCACTTGGGGTTTTTTACCTCTAATTTAGTGATGTGCCAATGAAAAACGATCATGTCTTAAGACGTGTTCAACAGTTTGTTAAATAAAAATACTTTTTTTGTTCCATCCAGAAAACATCTTTGACATCACTCTTTAAAGCTTTTCTTGAAAGCTGTGATTGAGGGATGTGTCCTCCCTCATCACATCCCAAGCAGCTTCGTTTTCCTGCCAGTTTGCAGCATGTTGTTTTGCTGAGATGGGAGAGAACTAAATTTTCATTTTCCTTGTCTCACAGTAGAATGTCTGCTTCACAAGATACATGTCTGCATTACTGGCATTGGAGTATAATCTGTTTCCATTTTTATCTTGGACTTTTTAGTGAATTATAAACTACTGGCAAAAATGTCTGAAAACCTCAGTTTTAGAGAATTTTACATCTGCCTCAGACCGTTATCTTTGGTAGTGTTTGATCAACTAAGATTTTGTAAATGAACTAAGTTTTGCTTACACAAGGAGTAGTTCCAGCAGATGTTAAGGCACTGTAAAATGGTTTTTGTTTGTTTTGATTGGCTGTTTTAAATGCAAACAGAAATGTTTGTAATTTTTGAAGTTATTTTAAACCTACCAAAGCAAAGCCAAATAAGCATTCAAGGTACTGAATATTTCTGTAATCAATGTGTTTTATAAGTTAACACCACAAGCTTATGTGGACATTTTAGTTTGTGGCTTGTTAGCTAAATCTTTGTTATAGAGAATCAAGTTCTTGCCCTGGTACTTAAATAGTCTTGTCTGATTAGAGTACAGCAATACTCTCAGGTTGAATGTTCTGTATGTTCTTTCTGTAGGAAAAGTAATAGGAAAAAATGGAAAACTGATTCAGGAGATAGTGGACAAATCCGGCGTTGTAAGAGTGAGAATTGAGGCTGAAAATGATAAAAATATTCCACAAGAAGAGGTATGTTTTCAGTTAATTTAATTTTTCTTTTTGTTAATTGGTTATATTCTACCCAATTATCAAGTAATTTCTTCCTTGTATCTTTGTAGTGGTAAGATAAGTGGTTAATGTGTTTTCTCATGGATTCTATCTTTTTCTATTAATGCTGAGGAATAAAAATTTGGAATATAATTTTTTTATATAAATTTGGCTTCTCTGTTTTAGAAAAATGCTTTGTGAAATTTATTGGTGGTGCACTTTCTTAGAGATTTCTTGTGGTTCCTGTTGGAAGCAATGACATTTCCCAGCATGTGCTATAAATCCATATATATGAAACTTACTGATTTCATTCATTAATCTTCTTTGAGTTTGATTTCTTAACTTTTTACCTGGTTTAATTTTTCATTGCAATTTCTTCTGTTGAAATGAAAAACTTGTGCCTTATGTTAAATCTCTGCTTTTAAAAAATACTACCTAGGTTCACAAGAGCCTGTAAATTATAACGTAAAGAAAAAACAAGCATGAACACTGAAAGCCCAGGTTTGCACAGGAGGGCTGGCAGCCTTGCAAAGGGCCTGAATGAAGTCTCAAACATTGTCATTTGAGGCACTTCTGTGTGGGGCTGCATTGAGGGGCAAGGTTGTGGTATGCAAAAAATCTTACAGCATGAAGGTCTTGACATCTCAATGCAAAAAGACTCCCTGCAGTTCCAGGTGTGAAATGTGCTTAAAGAAAACTGAACTGCCTTTCATTTACCTCAGAATCCAAATATGTACCAGTTAAGAACCTTTGCACTTTGGATAAGCTATGAAATGTGGTTTCTTATGTTCTTGCTTGAGTAGTTATTTCCTCTGCTGTTTTATCGCTGTAGGACTTAGTGGAAATCCACAATCCAATTTCCATCTTTCTATACAGAGTGGCTAGGCAATTAACTAAGGGCTTTTTTTAATATCCTACTAGTTTTACATCTGTCTGAAAAGGTAAATGGTCAATATTTAGACTTAAAGGTTTCACTGGTCTGTCGTATTTAATTTCTAAAGAAAAATTCCTGCAGCATAAAATGGAATTAGTTTAATAAGCAAGAGGGTGCTGCTATTGCTGCAGGGTAGAGAATCAGAGAAGGGTAAAAGAGCCAGGACTCACGGCTGCAGGGAGTATGTCTGGCTTTTTTATTTTTTTAATTCTGACTTGAAAAAGCTGATTTGCTTACATTTTTCTGTCCAAAATGCAGCTTTGAAGGATTATCTTGAAAGGTCTTTTTTACCTGTCAAGCTCTGTATTCATACTTCTGTTTTACCTGTAATGACATTACTAACACTGGCATTTTGTTTGCACTGCTTCATGTGTTAGTTGTGTCATCTCAGAAACCTGAGATCAGACTTGAACAGGTAAGAGTTGGTACTTGTAAATTGAATGCAGCTTTATTTCAACTATAAAATCCAAATAATCTTTCCATATGTAAATTTGGATATTGCAGCCCTTCTTCTTGTAGTAGAACAGTAGTTCAATTAAATTTTAATACAGCACTTGGTTCTTTTTATGTGACTGAAATGTTAGAATACTGCCCATTAGTTTGAAGTGCAGTTTTATACATCCCATTATTTTATAACAGGCTATCTTCAGGCTTTTCATATTTTAAAATGAGATAGGTACTGTTTGTTACAGTAATGTATATTACTTTTATCCCTGAATTTAGTATGCACGTACGGTCTGCTCAGTTTCCCCCACTGCAGCCAAGTTGAACGTAGGTACTTTTGCTTTGAAGACAAAAATAAGGTTCAATAAATAAGGACTTTGCTGCTTTTGTATGGCTGAAATTGCTTGACATGGTTACCAGCTCATATTCTTAATAGCTGGCATTGTCATACCTTGAATGCACTGCCAGAAGCAACAGAAGCCGTTTCCTTAAATGCCCTCTTAAATCATTTGTCTTGTCATCGTTTAATAATTGATACTGTGAGCTAGTTAATGCCAGTTTAGTAGAAATTTCACTGCTCTTTATCAGGTTGTATAAAATATTTATGAAACTTAAAATACCCCAGATAATAAAACATTTCAGTCAACAATGCCTGTGGCTAAAGAATTTTTAATGCTCATGAAAGTCAGTGTTAATGTTGAGGTTCCTTAGGACTAGAGGACTGTGTATATATTATTTTTCCTGGTTACTTAATGTAGTTGTGTAAGGTCTAATGTAAGGGATTTGCCTGTAAAAGAAAGGGATGGGGGAAGAAAACCAAACACAACCCTAAAAGGGGAGACAAATTATAGACTGGCCACTCCTGGGCAATCTCAGCATAGTGCGCTTTTAATTTTTAAGACATTAGTGTCTTACATCATTTCACTTCTGCAGCCAACCTTCCTTTGGAATGCAGTTCTGTAAAGGGTGTGTGTACAGTGAAAATTAAAGGCTTCTGTAGAGGTAATGATGAGATAGCAGAACAATCTTTGAGATAATCAGCAGGTGTGCCAGGCTCTGCTCTGCAGTGGCATGGGCTTCAGCAGCTGAGTGTTGGAGATGCTCAGCTTAACCTCTGCAGTCCACAGTGAAGCTTCTCCTGCCCAGGTGCTGCAGCTGCTGGAACAGTCAGGTTCACTCCTTGGGCCTGGGTGGGCTGCACTCACACCTCTGAAATGCTGCAGGGGCCTGGCTGAGTGTCAGAAGTTTTGGTGTAGAAATTGTCCTTCTGTTGCTAAGATTTACTTTGTTTTCCACACTCAGTGGAACCTTTTAGATAGGTTTTGTTTTCACCTGCTTTGGCTGCCTAAGTTAATCTTTAGGTATTTTGTCTCTCAGTGTCATAATTTTAGACTATAGAATTTCCAGATTTATATTTTCCATGTGTTTATTGAATCACTTCACATGTTTGAAAGGTAGAAGAACTGTAAGTTAGAAATCATCACCTGAAGTACTAACTCTTCCTTGAATATTTTTTGGCGCTTTTTTTACAGCTGTACAGGTCTTCAAGAAGGATCAGGTTTTGTTTTGTGACAGAATGTTAATTTGATTTACTTTTTTAAAAGATCAAAGGTAGACCAAAAGGAGCTGTTGTGAGAGAATGGATGCAGTCAGCAAAGGTGGTATTAGCTTGAAGGGGGAAAACATAAAGTGTTCTAAATTGACTCTTTTTCACTTGTTCAGAAAAATAAATATTGACATTGTGATGCAAATGATCTAAATCTGCCTATTGAAAAAAGCTCTTTGCATAAAGGGAATTAGAGTACATGGTGTAGTCAATATCAGGATTAAAATATACTGTTGTCTCACTTTTTCATTTTTGCTTATTTGTGGTGTAAGAATTGTTTTCACGTTTTACAGTAGTTTGAATTCATTACCTAATTCAGAATTCAATACCTTATCAATAACCAAAGCCTATTGTTTCTGTGTTTTAGGGCATGGTACCATTTGTGTTTGTAGGAACCAAGGATAGCATCACTAATGCAACTGTTCTTCTGGATTATCATCTTAATTATTTAAAGGTGAGGATAATGATGCTGCTTTACCACTGATTTTTTTTCTGTCAATACTTAGGGTGGTAACAGTGTGATGATGATAAACTGTTCAGATCCTGAGACTGTTGAACAATTAGGATTATAAAAGGTTTTCTGTCTGAAAATGAAATGTTTTTAAAAGAATAATTTATCTGAAGAATGGGATGACAACATCTTTCAGGATGCACATTACAAAAGAGTAAGAAAATATAAAAAATCTGTCAAAATGTGCTGCCAGCTTTATATATGAGAGAGTAGTCAGTCCTTCATGCAGCTGCAGAGCAAACAGCCTTCCATGCAGAATCTTGTACAGAGTGGGCATTTGTTTTAATGCAAAAATGCTAAACTACTTTTTCTGTAATGAATTGACATTTCATACCTGAGTATGTTTTGTAGGCAACTCAGCTTTATATGTTGTGTTTGCCTCTTAGCTCCATAACTTCCCCAGTAGTCTCTGATGAGTGGCCTGTTGTATAGGGAGCAAAAAATATCCCATATTGTTGCTCTTAGTTACTTTTGCCTGTGGTGGTTGTGGCCAGGTGCCCAATGGCAGGGCCAGATGTAACAGGAGGGACAGCTTTGAGTTCATTTAATTAAATAAACTCTTGCATCTGTTTTGAAGCCTTCAGATCATTTATGGTTTATATCCAGTCAGTGCAGTAGCCATCAGTGAATCTTTAGAATGCTAAAATTTCTATACATCGTTAAACTTTTCAATACAGGTAATCAAAGAAGTCAGGAGAAGAAACAGCTTTTGTTTTCTTACCAACTCAGTCACTTTTACCTTTTAACTCTGCTTTTGTCGGCGTTTTGGAGCAGAGGTACAGCAGCTCTGCAGGTGTCACAAGGCAGAGGCAGAGAAGAACCAGATGAAAACTAATACTAAAAATCAAGTTCATTTCTTGGGTGCTTGCTATGCTTTGAAAAGATATTTCTGGTTTAAACTTCTTTGGCTGCCTAAAGTGCATACTTGCCTGTGAGTCAGTACTTGAATGGGCACTGACATGGTAGTGGGAAGTGTTTAATAGCTCAGCAGTTTTGTTTTAAATTGATCAGTTCATTGTCAACTATGGTCGCTTTGTCTTAGTGCCCTTAAACCTTCCTGAGCCAAAGGTCACAAGTAAGTGTTCCTCAGTCTGTGATAACTACTGGATAGATTGTTTTGTCTAAGGTGTTATCTTGGCTTTCTAATCCCATAAACACAGAAAATGTTGTTATCTTAGTGGCCTGTTGCCTTTTGATTCAGAATAATGTCCTCCAGTTCACTGACAAGAAGTGGGACAGACCTGTTCCTCTAAGATTTTCATGTTTTTATGCCTCCAGGCAAAGATTATTAAGGAAACTTTTTGTAAAAGATACATAATAGTGCATCAGCATCAAATGTACTGTATCAGCTCAGCGTCATGGATTTCTTTGTCTGTAAAAAGAAGAAAGCAGACTTGGCTGGAATGACTGTTGTGAATTTTCAGGATCTTGAGAGGAAAGACTTAGACCAGGATTCACAGCCTCAGACTGCAGGAAGGTGGACTTTGGCCTGTTCAGGGATCTGCTTGGAAGAATCCCATAGGATACATTCCTGGAAGGAAAACAGATTTGGAAGAGCAGCTCTTAAAGCATCACCTCTGAGCTCAAGAATAGTCCATCTTGATATGCAGGTGTTAACACAAAAGTAACAGTAGGGTTGCAGGGATCAGCAAGAAACCTGTGACTAAATTAATATAGGAAAACTAAGGATACAAGGAGTAAAGTCAGGACAGGTGAATCAGATGGACACAATTTGTGTGGGCAGGGATGAGTTTGGAAAGCTGAAGTCCATCAGGAGTTGAATATGGCAAGGGATGTGAAGGGGAACAGGAAGAGCTGCTGCAGAGATATTGGCAGCAAAAGGAATACCAAAGAAAATACAGGCCTGCTGCTGGATGGAGATGGGAGCTTGCTCACAAACAGGAAGGGTGAGATACTGAATGTCATCCTCAGTTTTGGGGTTTTTTTTCCCTTTCATCCTAAGGAACATCAGCCCCTAATACCAATGGGAGGTCCTTTAGCAAGAAGCCTTAGTCTTCCTAAAGGAAGGTTGAGTTAGGGAATACCTTAAGGGGGAGAGATGAGCCATACTACACCAAGTCACTGATGGAGTGCATTCCTGAGTACCAGAGCATCTTAGCAAAGTCCTAGCTGGACTAGGTGACCTGCAGAGAATGCAGTGTCAGAATGAAACTTCTATCAATAGATTTCTCCCTAATTAAAGAAAAAGGGGATTGCCACTCTGATGTGAACTAGATAATATCTGAAACTGGCAAAGGTCCTTCATGAATATGTGTTGCTGTATCTCTTTTACCCAGTTGTTTATGGGAAGGGTGCTGTGTGCTGCTGCTTCTGTGCCTGAGTTACAGCACTTTTCTCTCTATGCTTCCTCATACTGTTCATTATCATTGTGTAGGGTTTAACAGCAGAGTGCCATTTAAGGAACGATACTGTTACATCAGAATTGTTTAATAACTGTTAGTTAGGTTGAACAGGATAAAGAGCTTGTGTTCTGATCCAAGTGCTTTTTCTTGATACAAACCTAAACTTGTCAACTGTGCCACTGTAAGAATTGTGCTGGTAGCACATGGATTTGAACATTTGAAAGCCTTTCTGTCAACCAAGCTATTCTCAAAGCTGATTTACTGTTTGAGTATTAATCAGTTGCAATATTTCAGTGTTTTTTCTCTCTGAGACCCGTGTGTGTGCACATGCAGATGGTTACATAGTGGTGGTCCATGACTTGCTGGTTGTGTTTGCACAGGAAGTGGACCAGCTGCGTTTGGAGCGATTGCAGATTGATGAACAATTGCGCCAGATCGGCGCCACTTCGCGGCCCCCCTCAAACCGCCCGGACAAGGACAAAGGGTACATGACCGACGACGGGCCCGGCCTCGGCCGCGGCAGCCGCCCCTACCGGAACCGCGGCCACAGCCGGCGTGGGCCAGGCTATGCTTCAGGTAGGTGCCTCCAGGGACACCTGCACTGCTCAGGGAGGCCTCCTGCTCTCGTGACTGCTTGGAAAAGACTGGACTTAGAGCTGTTTAAAGTGCAGTTACTATTGAGTATTAATGTTTGAAGATGATACAGAGCTTTATGCTGTAAGAAAGTACTTCCAAGTGTAGTGCTTTCCTGTAATCTACACTGATTTCCATGCAGTTCCTGCTTCTTACAGCATGCTTCTGTCTCCTCCATTATGGAGCATAACTAGTTATTCCCTAACTCTTTAGGGCAAGGATTGTTGTTTTATCTATATTTTGAACAATTCCTGACCATTAAGTCTCAGTTTTCATTTAAGCCTGTGAGTCTATCCTAATATAAATATTTATAGGTGAAAATACTGTGTAGCTCAATTTACAGGAAAGCTATTTTCTTCATATTAAATTGAACTTTTATGTTTTAATAGAAGACCATACTCACCAAAATAATGTTACTCTTGGAAATGTTGGATAATTCATTAATAAATAGTTTTCCAGATCGTGCTTCTTCAGAGCAATCTATTACTTCATTATCTATCCATAATGTAGGTCAGCTGGTGTTTGTCCTGACTGAAAGGCCTGTAGTGTGAACTTTGTAAGAAAATCATAGCTTACGTTCTGCATGTACAAAATTAATGTTTTTGTGATGTTTACTATTTTTAGAAGATGTGAACTCACTTTGCTAATAATATGGGTTATGGGGGGAAAAAATGGGGAAAGGACCAGCTTTTGTCAATAAAGGTGATCTGTTAATTGGAAAAATTGCAATGGCCATTTATTTGAATTGATACATTTCTAGCATTTTGACTTTGTTCTCTTCTTTTGTAGTCTGTTTACAGGCTGTTTCATGATGGAATTTTTTTCTTTTCATAGATGAATTGCAGTGATGAGGAGACAGGACAGGTTACATTCACAACTTTCAGTTTTAGAAATACGAAGGAGTCTAGTCTATTACACTTATGTCTTATTAGACATCTATTACATTTTGTAGTATGTTCAATAATCTATTGATATACTGATAACACCAATTTTAAGCATGTGACACAATTATTTAGCCTTAAACACACAACTAATTTTTATTAGTCTGTCTTGAATTTTGAAGAAGTAATATATATTGTGTACCTTTCTGTATTATGTACATTATAGAGGCAAAAACATCCCAAGACTGTCCATTAACAAAAAAGAAAGAAAGAATTTATACATTTTGCATTCTACTATAGTAATTCCATGCTAAGCTACACTGGCGTGTTTGGATTTTTTTCATCCTCTTGATAGGAACTAATTCTGAAGCATCAAATGCTTCTGAAACAGAGTCTGATCACAGAGACGAGCTGAGCGATTGGTCGGCGGCCCCGGCAGAGGAGGAGCGGGACAATTACCTGCGCCGGGGGGACGGGCGGAGGCGCGGCGGCGGCGCCCGAGGCCAGGGCGGGCGGGGCCGCGGAGGATTCAAAGGTAAAGCAGAGACTCCCTTTGGAAGCGGCTGTCAGTGAGCGAATCCTAAAGCAAACTCACTTCTGCCAGCTGCTCCTGTTCTTATCTGCTCCAACTCCCCACCTGCTGGCCTCTCCTGACTTCTCTTTGTCAGTCTTTTAAATGGAGTATTTTGTTCCAGATGTGTCGAGCATTGAGCAGAGTGGTATAATTCTTTTTGACCTGCCTTATTTTTGGGGGGGGGGGGGGTTTGCTATCATTTGTTTTCCTAAAATGCCTCTTGACTCAAGTTTGTCCATCACACATGGACATCACGGAATCAAATTCTAGTTTGTCTGTAGATACAGAAAAATCTTTTCAAATCTGTTTTACTCATTGAACTGTCCATATTCACATCTTCTTATATTTGATTTTATTGGAACAGGATAACATTGTAATTTATGTGTTTAATGGAAAGGACCAGGCAAAAGTAACATGGGAGAATTTTAAAAAGCTAAATATATGTACAAGAACATATGATGTTCCATTATATTTATTGGTTAAAATACTTTATTCTGCAGCTCTGCTTATTTCTTGATTTTTTTTTTTTTTCAAAATATGGGTGCTGCATAATAAAGACAGTAATGTATAATTTAGAAAGCTTATAAGCCACTGAAAAATGTGAAGGTATTAAGCACTGCTGATCGTGTACCTCTCTTCTGTGGTTAATCATTTTGAAAAGTGTTCTTTTTCCACTCACTAGTCAGTGTTTTTTAAACTGTAGTGATTTAAAACACTGAGCTTTTATCTGCCTTACCACCTGAGAACATTTTCTTTAGTGATTCCTGGCCCATAGTTTAAGAACTGTTAAATGTTAGTAATAATACTTGTTCGTGAGCCAGAAAATTCTGAATTGCCTCCTGTGCTTGTGTAAAATTTAAGTGGCAGAAGATGATGTCTGTGTTGAACAACTTGGTGGATGAATTCTCCTTCCAGGCAATGATGAACAGTCGCGAACAGACAACCGTCAGCGCAACTCAAGAGAGGCGAAAGGGAGGACAGCGGACGGGTCTCTTGAGGTAACTCTGCTCATGTGGGAAGTCTGTACTCTTTAAATTGCATTGTGTCCTATAGTAACAGTAGAGTCTTCTGTTGTGAGTGATACTGTAGCCTTGTGATTCCATATTCTTTGACTCCCTAATCACATCTACAAAAGTTGTGTTACAAAATGATGCAGATGCTCAGGACTCTAAATATATCAAGCTGTGTAAAGATGCAGTTTTGTAATGCTGTTGAGCTCTGTCTGATGAAAAACTGATGGCAAGTCCCAAGGATGTACTAACCACCTTGATTTCAGTCTCTGTTCTTACTAGTGCTTTGGTTTTAGCTTTTATTTCTTGCTGTGTTGTGTGTTTTTGTCTATTTTCTATGTACCTGAGGGAAGAAAATCCTTAACATATATAAAGAGTGTGTGTTGTAGCCAGAATCCTCAGAGTAAGAAAGATTAAACTTCAGAAACTACCTTCACTACTAAATGAAACATTTGTAATTGAAGGCTATTCAGTCTAGAAAGTAAGTTTCAAATTCACATCAAGAAACTTTTCAAGCAACAGGTTTGAAATATCTTATAACCTTTAAATATTTTTAAGCTTTTTATATAGATATTTCCACATTTTTTCAAATGCTTTGTTTCATAAAGTTACCAAGCTGATACCTTATGTATATATGTTAAGTTTCCCCACATGGAAACTGTCCTTGCTGTAAGTGGTAGCTTGCAAACCTTCCACCATCTCTTACTGCATAGGATGAGTTAAGTTGGGAGGAAGAAACACAGAGCAGCTGCAAGCTGCTGCCTCTGTGTGGTGGTACCAGGAGTCAGGGTTCCAAAGGGACGTCAAGTTGGTTGGTTTTTGGAAAACCTGGTTAAGAAAGGGACAAAATTGAATAAGTGACCAGTGCTTACTTTTTGAAATGGGAGTGCTGAACTTGAAGGTGTAGTAATTGAATAGGCATATGAAATGCAAGTAATTGACTTTGCAAAACAAAAAATAAATAATGGCCGTGTGAGTTTTATAATTAATTAGTAATTACCTTTCCAAGTTTGGAGTAGGCAGTGAGGAAATGTGGTGCTGAAAAAAAATACATAAGGCACTTAAATCATGGGGGCTTTTATCTATTGCCCCAAGATTTGGATGCAGTAACACGTTACAAGAAAATAAGGACTTGCATGTTGTTCAGACTTGGCTGAGCAAGTTGCAAAAATCATGTTACATGTAAAGGAATAAGCATTTGCCTCCTTTGCAAGTATAAAAATATGCTTTCAACATGCTCTCTTGAATTTTTTTATGGCCACTTAAAAAGACTGCAGAAGTTTTTTGGGTGTATTAAATGGATTTTTTTTTCAGTTTCAAAAAAGGTCTGAGTAGATTCTGAGATTCAGAGATGCTGCTATGAAATGACTCTGTGTCATTTGGGGGCTTTTTGCATATAAAGAGTAGGAAGTCAAATTACTAGAAGTTGAAATAATGTTTCAAGGATCCATCGGATATTAATTCAACTCTTTTGTGCACAAACAAACTGGAAATTTTTCTCTTAGCTCCAAATGCTAGGTAGATGGCAGAGGATTTTTTGCCTCACAGGTATGTGGCATTTTTGAACAGAAAAGAATTTTCACCCTCCCCTGCAGCTGGATACATTTAACAAAGCCATGAGGGGCTGGGACTATTTGCTGCTCTGAGAGCGCCCAGGGGTGGAGGAAAGGAGGAGAATGCTTTGTATAACTGTGAATTGTTCCAGATCAGAACTGACTGCAATAATGAAAGGAGTGTTCACACTCAAACCTTACAGAATACCTCGAGCGAAGGCAGCCGGCTGCGCACGGGCAAGGAGCGGAACCCCAAGAAGGAGAAGACGGACAGCGCGGACGCTCAGCAGCCGCTGGTCAACGGAGTCCCCTAAACTGCATAACTCTGAAGTCATACTTCCTATACTGTTTCAGTAATTCCTATTCCATGTTAGAGAAACTTGTTAGGCCAAAGACAAAATAGTAGGCAAGATGGCGCAGGGCATGAAATGAACATATGTTCTCTGTTAGCCTTTTTTAACATCAACAGTATGCAGTTGTTTTCAGAATAAGAAGTTATTCAAATATTTGCATAAAAATACCTGAACTTCTGAAAATCGCTTCCAAGTACATATTGCAGTTCAAAAGATGAAAGATTCTTTTTTGTTTGTTTTAAAAATACTGAGCTGTGCATTGGTAAACTTTCTGTTCAGTTGTACCATTTTAACACATCGGGTCAAATTCACTGCTCAATTTCAATTTTCAGAATAAATAGTGTTTGCAGTAATCAAATTGGCTTCTGTTTTCAATCTAACTTACCAGTTCTTCATGAAATGCTATGTCGTTTTATGTCCTGTGTCAGTTCACATTCTGGTCCACCTTTTTCAATATTTTGGTGGGCCCTGAAATCTGTGTGATGTAACAATTGTCATTTTCATTAGCAAAAAAGTTGTATGATCTGTGCCTTTTTTATATCTTGGCAGGTAGGAATATTATATTTGGATGCAGAAATCAGGGAAGATGAGTTGGTAACACTAAATGTAAAATATATGTAGCAATCCTTGTCAGACGTTAGTACTTTATAGACAAGTGCATGCTTTCCATAATTTTTTCCTTACATAAACATTCAGTTAGGCAGTTATAAGAATAGGAAATTTATTTTGCACTGAAGATTTGGCAAATAGTGTTATTGAAAAAGGGGTGTAATTTTTTTCTTTGTAGGCAGTACAGAAGCTTTTTTTTTAAAAAAGAAAAACTAAAAAAAAAAAAATCTTTCCATTGTGGAAAACTAAAAAACTCATTGTTACTGAGGGAACAAGTGTAACATGTTCACAAGCTAGTAATGGGTGCCTGCTGTTTGGCCAGATGACCAGCCTAAAGCATTGATGGTTTTCATCCTCCCAAACTTTTTGAATTGCTTATTTTAATTTGGGGGCTATTTCAGGAGAAGTAAGAAGAAAGTCACTATATTATGCCCTGGCAACTACAGATACAGTAGTTGAAATATTGAAGGTAAAATAAAAGTTCTTCATATTTTGAGCTGCAGGGTCCTAATTACCAGCCAATATGAAGGTGTCACAGAATTTGATGCAAAGTACAGCTGTACACCAGGGAAGGGTGGGAAGTGGTGGGAGGAGCTGTGCTTTCTTTCATTTCTGATCACACGTTAAACTTACTGGGCACAACTGCATAAGGACCTTCATTTTAGTCCATTTTTGTTCAGATTACTCCAGAAGGAGAGCCACTGTTTATGTACAGAATTGTACAAACTTGACCTTGCCTCTGATGTATTTTGTGAGTTTTGTTTCTTTGCTTTCTTCATTCTTTTTTTTCCTTGCATACAGGTGAGCATACTAAAACTGGCAACGAACTGCACATGATTTAACAAATATAAAAATGTCTTAAAAAGTATTGCCAAACATTAATGTTGATTTCTAGTTATTTATTTTGGGAATGTATAGTATTTGAAAACAGAAATTGGTACCTTGCACACATCATCTGTAAGCTGTTTGGTTTAAAATACTGTAGATAATTAACCAAGGTAGACTGACCTTGTAATGTAACTGCTCTTGGGCAATATTCTCTGTACATATTAGCTACAACAGATTGGATTTTATGTTGACATTTGTTTGGTTATAGTGCAATATATTTTGTATGCAAGCAGTTTCAATAAAGTTTGATCTTCCTCTGCTAACTGATGTTGATGCAATCCTTATGAATGATTGCTTTAAAAAATCTCAACTGACAGAAAGTAGGAAGTATTTCTTTGTTTAGACTTTAACTGTAGGCATTGTTTATTTACACATTTTAGAAAAATCTCAGATACTACCAGATTTCAAAAATACAGCACAAAATGCTCAAGAAGACACAGCCTCCTCATGGAATGGTACAGTACCTGTTGAGTGGTCACACTTCATGCACTCATTTCTCACATTCAGTGGTTGAGTTCACTAAGGTGCTAACCCAGGTAAATGTGAAATTCCTAAACCACAGTCTGACTAATTGGCTGCATTCCATTTCCACGTGGGTTTTGGGGTTATGACTTTTTTCAGTATTTGTGTACTTCACATATATCCCTTTCAGTTCATATTCCAGTGATTTTAAATGTTATTAAATTTCAACAAATTAACCTGTGAATCTAAATGTACACTTTTATTTTGAAAAGTCATGTTGTTACAAAACTTGAAAGTGCAACAAATGTCTGATGCTTGAGTTCAGGTCCGTCCTATTGGTAACTATTATAAAGTCTGGTCTAATGAATGAAAATTATTTTTAAAATAAAGTTCTTTGAAAGAGTGAGAGGTATTTGTGAATCATGCCAAAGTCTGAATTCAGGAAGGTTGAGCTCAAAGCTTATGAATTAAGAAATGCTTAAAAAAATTGAAAGTTTGTGTTTCTGTTGTTTACTGAATGCGGTTTTGTTACTGATGAGTGGGGAGTTAAGATATTTAGAGTTGTTATTAAAACTTTGTCAAGGAAAAAAATCTCTTTATTCAGCTTTTTTTTAAGCAGATAAAAATCTTTTTATGAGCACTCATGAGTTCAAGAAGATAGGTTTAGTTTCATAAATACAGGAGTTATTTGAATCAGTTGCTGAGGAGCTTTTTCAGCCCTTCTTTGTCCGTAATATGAAATACTGTGTACCATGTTCAGGAAGGACATTGAGTGCTGTGAGTATGGGACTGAGTGTAGACCTTGCTTCTTCCTACAAGCACTTACTGTGAAAGGCAGTTAATTTTCCTGAACCTGCAGTATGTTTCCCTGCAAAACCCTTCCATATTGAATATTCAAAGGAAAAATTTTAGTTTCCAGTGAATATTCCTCAGTCATTTCAGGAGTCCTGCTGTACAGTTTGCTAAGTTCTCTGCTAATCTGCAAGAGAAGATGGGTATCAAATATTTTTATCCTGTATATTGTTAAAGGTTTTTTGTATTTCCAGAAGCAGCAAGACTTGCAGTGGAATACCTGTGTTAAGGGGTGGGAGAGATGTGTTGCTGGTTCTGGTAGCTACTTAAAAGAATCTTTTAAAAAGTGACAAGGCTGAGATTGTTTTTTCCACAGTAGTGTGTATTAAGCTTATTCATCATTCACTTGAACTTAACAGATTTTCATCCTAAAAGATGCCAGTCAAAGAGTCCTTTCCAGATATTCACACCCATAAAAACTGGGGTGACTAGGGGTGTTTGCACAGTTAAGATATTAAGGCAGCTTAATATATGTTAGGAAAAGTGAGGTTAGACCTCCTGAGCTCAGTGTTCTGAGTAGATTCCACTTGGATCACAAGGTTCTCCTTGCCAGAGGTTCATTACACTTAATTACAATGTGAGTTTCACATATTTTTATGCTGTGATTTACAGAAACAGCTCTTTACTCTGGCAGAGGGAGTCTTTGATAGAGGACTGTGGATCTTTTGCCTGCATGGGAGATGAATCTGGTTTTCTACAAACAATTTTTTAAAATGCATCACACATCTGTCACTTGTGCTTTCACAGTTACAAAGGTCATTCATCTGAAATAGTTTGATAGAAATAATTGCTGTTAAACCCAGATGAGTCAGTTTGCCATAATTATTCTTTTTTTACATTATTTAAAAATTACAATAGACTTTAAAGCAGTATTTTTGTGTGCTTTGAGTACTGTATAGAATTGGATTATAAGAAAGAGCAACAATCATAGGTAATTTTGTGTATTGACTGAAAATTCGGTAGGAGAAAATGTTTACTTACAGTTTTGCACTGCATTTAGGAAACTGGTTTCCAATAAAATCAGTTAATTTAAAGCAAAAAATGATCACATGGATGTAGTCTGTAACTGCAAAGAACTTGAGTGCTGAAGAGAGGTTAGGACAAACATTAAGGCGTGGTTTGGGGTCTGAATGTGCTTTTTTGCCTGGTGCACTCAGGCTGAGCCTCAGGTGTAGACTACAGCTGCAGCAAGGGAAGTCAACACTCCTAAATGTAGTTAAATCAATTTAGTGTTCTGTTTACAGGGGGGAGAATTTTCTGTGGTTCTTAGCAGTTTGAAAAGTCCTATGTCAAAAATCCATCACACTGTCTGGAGTGTTCCATGAGGTAAATGAGCATGGAAAATCTCACATGTAAATCATATGCTTCAGAAAAGGAAGGCTTGAGGGTCAGACATTTCCAGGTATCTCCTTACTGGAGCTGCTGAGAGTGGCTGAATCTAGTCTGGGTGTAGAGTGAAACAATGAAACTGAGGATACTGTGTATTGTTGCTTATTTTAGCAAGCTAGGGCTGCATACAAATGACGTTAAAGAGAGCCACCCTTTAAACTCATTTTGCAATTAGCTGAAATGAGGAAAAAAACCCATGTGAATATATAAGTTTTTTCAAGCTCGCTTATCAGTTCAGATGGCTGTTGTAGCAAACTGCAACTGCTTTAGGCAGCTCATCTGTTAGGGGAACTGCTGATTTGATGACATCTGCATTTACTTTAGGGCTTCTGTATATTTTAAAAACACTGCTCCCAGTCTATTCAGAGCCTTTCCTTAATACAAGGAATGGAAGTGGTAGAATCCTAGAATGTTCTGGTTTGCAAGGGAGCTTAAAGATCCTCTAGTTCCAGCCTCTGCCTCGGGCAGGAACGCCTGCCTGTAGACCAAGTTGCCCAGAGCTCCATCCAGCCTGGCCTGAAATGCCTCCAGGCACAGGACATCTACAGCTTCTGTGCCAGGGCCTCACCACCCTCATTGTGAAAAACTTCAGCTTTCTAGCTAGTCTAATTGGAACCTCTTTTTGTTTAAAACTGCTGCTCTTTGTCCTATTGCACAGGCCCTGCTATAAAAGGCTTCCCCATTTTTCCCATGTAGCCCCTTTAGGTACTGGGAGGGGCCCTGATGTGTCCCCAGAGCCTTCTCCAAGCTGAAGCACCCCAGGTCTCTCAGCTTGTCTTCAGAGCAGAGCTGTTCCAGGCCTCTGGTCACCTTCATGACCCTCTGGACAAGCTTGAAAATCTCCTGCATGTGGGGAGCACTTGTGGTTTAACTCCAGTCAGCAACAGCAGGTAGCTGCTCAGCAGGTAGCTGCTCACTCACTCACTCACTTCACTCATGCACTCACTCAGTGCTCTCCTCCCCCTCCACCCTCCCACTGGGGATGGGAATCAGAGGAAACAAGAGAGTAAAAATCATGGGTTGATACAAGAAGAGTTTAATAATTGAAAGATAATAGAATACAATTATAATAATTGTGATGAAAAGGATTGGAGAGATGAAATCCAATAGGAGCAAGAGCTGCCCAATACAATTGCTCAATACACTGACCAGTGCCCAGCCCATCCCTGGGCAATGTTTGGCATCTCTCCTGCAGTTTATATCCTGAGTGTGATGTGCCATGGTGTGGAATATTCCTTTGGCCAGCCCAGGGCAGCCATCCTGGCCATGCTCCCTCCTGGTTTCTGGTGCACCTGCCCCCTGCCAGAGCAGGGGAACCCAAAAGTCCTTGATTGAGAGCAAGAACTGCTTAGCAATAGCTAAACATCAGAGCGTTATCAGCATTAGTCTCATCCTAAATCCACGGCACAGCACTGTGCCAGCTACAAAGAAGAAAATTTAACTCTTTCCCAGCTGGAATCAGGCCAGATCTCAGAGCTGGTTGCAGCACACCAGGTGGGGTCTCAAGAGAGTGGAATAGGGGGGCAGAATCACCTCCCTTGACCTGCTGGCCATGTTCCCTTCGATGCAGCCCAGGATATGATTGACTTTCCAAGTCTAAGAAAGATGTGTGTCAGATTTGTGCTTCAAATGTGCAAATATTTGGTGAAGCAATACCTAATTAATTCACCTTTCATGGGTTAGTGAGAAGCTCTAATTTAAGCATTCTGACTGAACTTTTTGATTTGAGAGGAGTGTGTTTTAATCTCTTACCTTTTACTAGGTCTGCTCAATTAGGTGATGTTTCTATGTTGTACACTGGTAAGAGTATGAACTTGTTTTTAACTTGGTGAATTAGAAGACTTGAGAGGCTTTCCAACAGTCTCAGCAGGGGCCAATTTCACCCAAAGCCCACTGAGCTTTTTCTGGCCCCTCAGTTGCTCCATCCTATTCCATGCACCTGAACTGGGGGTGGTGACTGTGACGTGCTTTGGTTCCACGGTTGTCAGGGCCAGTCTGTGCCTGCTGCACCCTGGGGAGCTGCTCATGCCCTGCTCAAGCATGGCTGGAGGAGACAGCAAAAGAAGTAAGTAATGGCAGGAAAAAGAATTTTCTCTTTATCTTGTTTTCCTTCTCCCTTGTTTTCCCAATTTGTCCTGAATGGTGTTAAATTTTGATAAGACTCTTGGAAAACATGATTCCTGTCCTCTTCAGAAATAATTTCACATTATCTCTGTGGGATAGAACATGTTTGTATATTCCTCTATAGCACAGGCACTTCCAAGGGCAGAGAACTTTCCTCACTGAGCAGGGGTACAGAAAGAGCTGACCCTTCAAAGGGCAATATCCACATGAAATGCAGTCAGTCTCTTCCCTGTGCAGCACTTCAGAAAACAGGGCTCTCCCCTCCCCAGTACTAACAAATTGTCTCTAGGTTTTAACTGTCTTTAGAGCTAAGTGCTAATAATTGAAAAAAGCCTTTTTTAGGGTAAAACAGGAGGGGCAGGCAAAGTGAAATACAGCATCTGTCAAAGCAGTCATCAGGGGTTGCTTGCAGGTACAAAACCCAGATTAAACCTGC